TCTTCTGATGCTACTACTACTGCTGCTTTTGTTATTGTTATTAATTTAATTTTACGCAAATACTGTTAATAAATTTTGTCATTGGCGTAAAAATGATTTCAGTTATCGGTTTTAATCGTTTGTTGATGTTGGCGTTGTTATGTTTATATCGGTGAAAAGAAAAAACGTCATTATTATTATTATAAAAGATGTTTTTTTTTTACAAAATTATTATTAATTATATCAGGAGTAGGCAAACTTTTTCCTGTGAGGGCCGCATTGAGAAATATTTGATCTTTGAAGGGCCGCACATGTCTTTAAACAGCAAATTTTTTCCACCCGGGGGGGAATTTGTTTAAGATTTATGGCAACTTTTTACTTTAAAAAAAGCCTTACGGGCCGCATAAAATAGCTTCGCGGGCCGTAGCTTGCCCACCCCTGATTTATATGATTTATATTATAAAGATTTTCAGACGGGAATTCTATCCGGTTTTTCATTCAGCACTGCACTCCATGTTAAATCCGGTATTATATTCGGCGGGGTATTCGCCATTGTATTCGGCGTTGTATTCGGTGCTAGTTTCGGTATTATATTCGGTATTGTTTCCGGTACTGCAGTCAGTATTCGGTTCGGCGTTGAAATTATTTTGGCAACTTTGATTCGCCGGAACCAACACTTTGGTCCATTTTTGCAAGAGAAGACTGTAAAAAAATAAAAATAATATTTTATTCTAAAAGGAACATTCGTGTGCATAATTTCGATTCATTTTAAAAATTTACTCAAATTTAGATTTGTTCTTATTTATATATAACAAATTTTTTATTAATTCTATAAATTATTAACGATATTAATCAAAAAATTATAGAAAATGTAATAATATTTCTTTCTTATTTTGTTTCTTAGAGGTACCAACTACTATACATTTCGACATCAAAAATCACCTTTAACCACTACACCATCAACTAAATTTAAAAAATTTTCTAACTATCTTTTAAATACGTAGGCCTCTTCCCTGGCCAGATCAATTTGGCTCAAAACATCGCAAAGTACTTTCATGCAGTTGGCTGTAGCATTGGCTTCCTCTTCGATTTGACTTTTTAAGTCAAAACTAATCTCTTTGAGATGGCTTGATTCCTTCAGGGCAGCATCACGTAATTTGGTCCATTCGGCTTTTAAATTTGAGGACAGACTGATGATCTGAGAAAAGGTTTTATTAATTAACAACCGCAACGACATGGCAAACCCGCACCATATTACCCGATAAAAAATATAACAAGTTAAATTTTAGAGAAAATCAAAAAATTAGAAAATTTTTTTTGAAAATTTAATTAATATGATGACAACGACGACGATGATGATAAATAGATAAAGACCTCAGCCAATGAATCTTTCAAAAAGTCGATCAGCCTTAAGACTTCATGCCTGTACTCCTTCGATTTGTACTTTAGCCCAACATCGTTAAAAAAGGTTCTTTGACTCATTGTTATTATTTTTATTGTTATTATTTGTTTATTCGTTACAACAGAAATGTTTACATAAGAAATGATAGTAGACAAAAACATAAGACACAGCAGCGTAAATAGTTTCAACTATATCAAAGATCAGTTCCAATTCAAAATTTAAGGGTGAATAAAGGTAGTACATTAAGTATAAACTTTGATTTTAATCCTGAGATCACTTTACGCCAGGGGTGGGCAAACTTTTTGCTGTGAGGGCCGCATTGAGAACTATTTTACCTCTGAAGGGTCGCATACGGTTCAACTCAAGACTATGCCTCTACGACTCTCTCTCTCTCTCTCACTTTTTCTTTCTTTTTTTTTACATATGAAACAAACTAAAAAGTTTTTCGTTTTTTTTAATTTTCAATTCGCATATTGTAGTTTAAATCGAAATATTATTTAAGGTTTACGAACTCGATACCGCCGTGAATGAATGAATGAACGAACGAAAGAACGAATGAATGGATGAATGAATGAACGAACGAATGAATAGATAAATGAATGAATGAGCAAATATTTTCATCACAAATAAATAATATTAATAATAATTTCCCAATTTTTTTGATCTAGGCACTCTCCAAATCCTAAAAGACGTCTACTGCATCTATATGCACGATGATTTTTTGCCGCACGAACATGGCTGGGGGCAGTCGTCTGCAAAATAACAATAATAATAATAACAATAAACAATAATAATAATAATAAACAATAATAATAATAATAATGATAATTACTGCTACTAACAGCATATGTAACAGGGCGCCGGTTCGAACTTCTCCAAACCACACAGCCAGGTTACAGGCTATTTTGGGAAATAAAATAAATAACACAGATCATTTTAATCATCATAATCTATTTTATTATTATTATTTATTTATTTATTATTGTTGTTGATGTTGTCTATTGTAATTACTACCTTCCCGTTTGGTTTATATAGAGCGGTCGTAATGCCACAGCCAAAATTCCAAAAGCAAAGCTCTTTAAAAACGTGATCGGTCGGTAGTTTCAGCCAATCTGGGTCGGAACAGGCTGTCCAGACTTTTACCTATTGTCGTGTGTGTGTGTGTGTGAGAGAGAGAGAGAGAAAGTGGAGTGGAATTCCACGGTTATGGAGTGTTTGAACTTTGAACTCACTCTATATTGAGGTGGAACAATAGCATCTCTAGGAAACTTGAATACAGACAAAGGGCTGCCGTAGCAGAACTGTATGAGGTACCAGCCGCCTAAGTGCTCCGTCTGATTTGGGGTATAATAAGTAATAATAAAAATAATAATAAACAATAATAATAATAAGTTAGTAAACCTTGTTAAGCGAGCTGTTGAATATTTTGACGTATCTGCCAACTGGATGGACTTCCAACATCTTCAGACAACTTGGTCCTTTGCGATTGGTTGGATGGTTGATCAATTGGTTAGTTGATTGATTCAATGGTTGTTTGATTGGCAAAAACTTGAAATCACGGTTAATCCAACTCGAAATCAATTTGAAATTTATCAAAAATATTTCAACAACCACCTCTGTTTAATATAAACTAGCAATTCATATAACGATACTTTCTGAAACTTCAACTCGAAAAACTTCAAATTTCTAAAAATAAAAGTCAGAATTTAAAGCAAATCAAAACCAGAACTAACTCATATCATGTCTCTTCCTAGTCAAGCAGGGTGAAGATTTAACTTGGGGACATCCACATTGGGGCCGGTTTGGAGTTGTGGCGCCGCAATCGTCATCAGTGTAGGGGCATGGATCACCCTCGAATGGGAACGGGGGTGGTACGCTGATCTGCTGGCAACACTGAAATATAGAGGTAGAAGTTTGTTGTGTATTTGTTCACTTTTTTTGTAATTAATTGTTCATTCTTGTTCTGTGTTCATTAATTTATTTCTTTTTTTTCGAGGGTTCATTCTTTCGAATGTTGGTTCAGGCATAGTCAATCATTTTTCCGTTTACTTATTCTTATTAGGCTATTATGAACACAGAGGCTGTCAACAAGCAAAACACAACATCAACGCCAATAGCGAACCGTGCTAACACATCAAAATAACAACACGAACCGTATTAACACAGCAGCATCGTGGTGGTTTAGGCTGACAGACAGGGCAGCTAGAGAAGGGGCAGATAGGGACTACCTGGGGCTTGTAAACGCAGGGCTTCACGATTGAAGAACAAGGGACACAGAAATTTGCTGCTACAGTTTCGCACATAGCTTCTCCTGCATATATAATAATAATTCTTTTATGTATAACAAAATCTTATATTTTTAATAATATGAATAATTATGGACGTAATTATTACCTTAAGACGGTGTTCTAGCTTCAAGAAAATAGTTTCTTCCGTAGTAATAAATGTAACGATTCGGTATTGTTAAAGTTCGATTTTTAAGCTGGTTTCTTGCTAAAATTTCGTTATTATAATTTACGTTGGTTATCAGTATAGTGAAATTTTGGCAGAATTAATTCGGAATTATTTCAAATTTTTAGACTCGTATACATGCAGCTGTTATTATTTTTTGTTTTTTACAATATAAACACGAAAAACGTCACAAGAAATACAAATAATTGTAATAATAGCTAGCATCAACACAGCTATATAGTGATAAAAATAACCATCATCATCATCTTTTAAAATCCTCGCCTAAATTAAAATTAATTATAAGCAGTTAAGATAAAGTATCAATTAAAAAGATAACTGAGATATTATCTTCTTTTTAGTATCATTATCATCATCGTCCCTATACAAATTTCGATGCTTGTCATTGTTGTAATAATTAAAATTATTATTGTTATTATTTTTACTATTATTATATTTATATTTTTCATCATTATATCGATGTTTAGAACGATTTCTGTCCCTACTTCTGCTACTACTAGTACTTCTACCTTTGCTGTGGCTACGACGATGACGACGATGACGGTCCTGATAACGATTGTCGCAATCGTTATGATGATGACGATGGTGATGACGATCACGGTGGTGATGATGATGTGATGATTTTGAATGAGGCATCATTTTACGTTTACTGACATCTCTGCCTGAGGTGTTTGTGTTGCAAGATGGGCTGTTTGTTCTCGATCTGTTTCTCAGCTTGTCCCTCTGATAGCGGTTTGAGTCAGTGTTATTACTAATGTTATCATGGTAATTATTATTGTTGATCTTATAATTATAATCATAGTTCTGATCGCTATTTCTGCTGCTGTCATTAATGTTCTTGCTGTCGTTTGGGTTACTGACGTGATGTTCTGAATGATTGTCGAAATCTAAGCTGATGTTGTTGATTGTACTGTCGTTGATGTTATTTATTTTCAGTTTTTCCGCTTTAAACCTGTGGTCACATTTCTCAAAAGATTTATTCCTCTCATCGAAATTATCATTTTTCTCTTTGCGATGATGACGCTGCTGCTGATGATGGCGTTGATGAAGATGATGGTGATTATAACGACGATCAAGACTAGTTTTTCTCTCACCACTGCCATCTTTACCTTTAAAATCATTCCCATCCTCTTCTCTACTTTCTACAAAGCCATCAGATTCAAGTTTACTATCTTTAATTTTTAATTTTTCAGGAACAATGATGGGCCTCCTAAATGGCCTTTCCACACCTCCAAACCTCAACTGCCCTGATTCTTTTCTACCCCCAAAACCACCCCCCAATCTTCGAGGTACCCAGCCACTCATGACTCTCTCGCACTCAAACATTACAATTATTCTTCGATCATCTAAAATTTTGTGGTTCATATTATGGATGGCAGCTCTTGCATCTGATCTGTGGGCATACTCGATGAAGGCATAACCTTTTGATGAACCTGTCACTATGTCTCGAACCAGTCGACATTTTTCTACCTTGCAGAACAGAATATGAATGTTGAAAGGCGATTAGAATCTATTAAGATTAAGATCAAAATTTATTGATAATTAGACTTTTAACAAATTATTAAAGAATAAATGTATCATAAATTAATTTAATAATTTAAAATAAAAATTTTAAATTTCCCTCTAACCCTGCCATGTCCATCAAATAATTCTTTCAATTTAGCTTCATCAGTGGTATGATTTAACCTCCCCACAAAAATGGTTCTTTCTGGGTCCCCTTCGACGCCCTTATTAGGTTTGTACACTGAATTTAGTGCCCTAATTATTGCATGATCATGTGGTTCGGTGTCTGTAGCATCTATGCTACCAACAGCTATGGGATCATAAATGTCTGCTACTGGCTGCCAGTCATAAAAAGACGTCATTTTCTGTATATTTTTATTTCATAGTTACTTGGGCATTTATGAATTGATGGGAATGAAATAAGAAAATAAATATAACATGGCTAAGAAATTTTAAGAGTTAGGTTAGTAAGTTTGGTTGGTAGGTTAGTTAGATTTAACCATTTACTTTACATTTATATAAAATTGATTCAAGAAAAGATAAATTTGAGTTAAGGTACTATATTTAAATTATAACATAATGTAATTATAACTTATTTGATTATCTAACTAAAATCAATACAATAACTACAACGTCATATAAAATATATAAATATACCTACAAAAATCATTACATTTGGATTTATAATATTAATTTGGTGTATTATTTATTAATGGGGAAATGTTTATTTTTATTAATAATTAGTTTTAATTTTTTAACATTTTTATATTATAAAAATAAATATAATTAATAAAAGAAAAGACATTTAAAATTTAAATTAAATTAAAATTTATTTTCATTTATTTATTTATATTTTAGTGACAAGCGTTAGTAAAATTACCTTTTTTAAATTTTGTAACTATTTAGCGTCATTAGTTTTATTCTCAAATTTGAAAATTACTTTATGAGAAGAATTATTTTAATTTAAGTTTAAACAGAATAATTGTTAAAATTGTATATAAGTTAGTTACGTTCGAAAAACCAAAATTAAACTTTAATCATTAAATAAAACTAAAAATGAACCTAAGTAATTAAGATTAAAATAAATATTATATATATATATCGTCTGTAGATAGCTAACAATCTACATTTAAAAATTGTATTGTAATAAAAATTGCACTATTCTTGTTCTTATAAAACTAACTAAGAACTAAATACGCAAACACACTCATATACTCATACATTTATATGTATTTCTATGTATATACAATTATACTTTTAAGCTTATATGTATATTTGCTTAGGCTAGCTACGATATACCACTGATGTTACATGATTTCGACATTTTTTGAAATAAAACGCTTCAGGACACTTTTAAAATTGTATAATCGTCGATTTACTCAGGTAAAACAATACAAAATATATACAAATACGTACACACGTTTATATTTACAAGTAAGACTGTATGCTCATAGATAAGTAACAATAATTAAAAATATCTTAAAAAAAAAACAACAAGGCACTGCACATCTTGACTTTTCAGTTCTGGAATGATAGACATGACGTCATCGACAAAAGATGAATTTAAATTAAAAAAAAAAGAATTAAAATCTCGATAATATCCGCCTAATATCGAGAAGAATCTTTTGGTATTGTTGACTATATTTCGGTACATTCTTTGGAGAACGTTGAAGTTGGAACAATTTCTCGAACGATTCTTTCAGAGCATCCCTTTTTCTAGGCTCCTGCTGGTGGTTTATCGCCGCGACGGCAAAAGTATGGAAAGTGTCCTGTAGTTTTCAAAGTAATTAAAAATATTAAAATCAACAACTACTTTGATTCTATGGTATTAATATGACGTCATTTGGATATTTTCTGATCTCACGAATGTACAAAAACATCTATACTAAGTATAAAAAGAGAGCACATCTAAAAGTACAGCGTCACAAAAATTGTTATTTGAATACCAACAGGCTTCATGGATGAGAGGGTAGATGAGAGTTTGATAATTGCGTCGATGTGATCCCTACTCAGTGGATCAAGGAACGCCATCTTGAATACCACCTAGACGAAGGAAATGTAACAAAAGATTATTATTCCCATCTAATTATACCTTTAGTATTATTATTTCATTACAAATTATAAATCTTTAAGGCGTTTGATAAAACATTACCATTAAAATTAACAAAACTTCTGAGAAAAGTTTCGAACCTCACTCATCAAGACTGCACTTTCAATAAGGAGATGATCAGCTTTGTCCCGACAGGAATTTATAGTAGTATAAAATTCATTCAAAAACTGCAGACTATCACAGATGACTTGAGTATTGGACTGATTGTTTAGTAGGAATTGAACTAAACTTATGATTTGTAGGAGGTAGCTGCTTGGCACGGATAAAATCTCGCTGCATGGTAGCATAGATATCTGTTGTAGGGCGTCTGTCAATGATCTAGAACATTCCGGATACTAAAAAATAAAATTTTTGAAATTTTTTAACTTTATTAAAATTTCATCACATCATTATCGATCATTTAAATCTAGTTCACAAATTTACAGTATTTTATATATTAATTATTAAACTCATTAATAAATTTAAAAAATCAAATGATTAAGCATCTCAAAATGCGATTAAAATAGTAAATTAATTTGAAAAAAGCAAATGCAGAAACCAGATCCTAACCTTAACGACATCTGCATCTATGTAGGGAATGACATGAACCAACATTTGAACGGCGCAAGTTGAAAATCTGCTTGAACCGCTAGTCGTAGCAGCCACACCACCATTACTACAACCACTACTATTACTGTAGCCCAAATCGTCATCGTCGTCGCTGCTTTTACTACAACCGCTGCCATTGTAGTAAGTGGATAGGTCGTTGGTTTCTGACGAGAGTAGGTTTGTTGCGATTTGAATGGACTTGCATATGTTTAAAGATCTGTCGTCTACATCCATGCTGGCTTGGTGCTCTGTTAAATGGATTAGTAAATTACTTAGTAGTAGTAGTGGTAGTAGAAGCAGTGAAAATAGAAGCAGCAGAAGTAGTAGCAGCAGTAGTAGTAGTAACAATAGTAACGTCATCATCAAAAGTATTGTTAGCAGTAATATAGGCAATAAAAGTAGCAATAGCAGTAGTACAAATGAAAACAAAATTTGTGAACTTCAAACACTTACTTGAATAATGGCTGAAGTAGAGATTGACAACCGTGTGGCACTCACTGAGTAGAACATTCTTTTGATTCTGTGGAGTGAATGATTAAGATGCAATACACATAACAACACACCTCAAAAAATATATATGTAATATAATACATATATGATACATACATGAAATTTCATCATTGCTGTTACGACAATTTCAACGTTAAAAACTAATTCAAACACAGACATACACACTACACATACACACAAAGAAAGAAGAGAGGAGAGAGAGAGAAAGAGTACGAACACACACATTTACACACACACACAAAGAGAGAGAGAGAGAAATAGAGAGCGAGTACCAACCACGTTAGCGTATGAACTGAAGCATTTTGAAGCTAGAACATATACATTGATAACCTCCTGTACTATCTCGAATTCGTGTGATTCATACTCTGTAGAATTTTTAAAAATTATCACTAACTAATTCATTTTTTTTTATTTATTAAAAATTGAATTAAAAATAACCAAAAACACAAAAAACACATACCTATGACAGATTTTAAGTAGCGAGCGGACTTCAGAAAACACTTGAAGATAGCTTGATACGATTCAGCAGTAACTATCTTTACGATGCTACTCATCCAGTCCAAAAATTCAATGGTTCTTAACTTGTCCACCACGCACTTGAAAGGTACTTTGATGCACCCTTGCATGCTTTCCATCATGGAGATCACCTGTTTGAAGTATGTAAGAGTTTGTGTTTGTGTGTGTGCGTGTGAGTGTGTGTGCGTGTGTGTGTGTGGTTGGTATGGTATGAATGGATGAAGACCTAACAAATGAACGTGTTAGCGAATGAATGAATGAATGAATGAATGAATGAAAGAATGAATGAATGAACAAACGAATGAATAAAGTAATGGATGAATCATACTTTTTTGAGATCAAACTCAGATTGGCTGTCTTGTAACGGAAGTGACGTAAGAACGAAATTTAAAAGAGATCGTTTGTTCTGAACGTTCAGTTTAATAAATTTTGACGACGAACTTAGTACCATGCTCACGATTCTCCAGTAAGAAGGTGCTGATTGAAGAACCCTTTTTCTGTTTAACGAAAAAAAATTAGTTAAACGCTCATTTTTTAAATAAAATTTATTGGATCTTCGATTTTAAAATAGAAATTGAAATAAGTAAGACATGAATGAATGAATGAATGAAAAACTAACTTCTTAGCATCTAGGACGCACGCGGCCAGCAGATTGATTGACAGCTGAATGACCTTGACCTCCGAAGACCATGTTTCTAAATTTAGATTCACCTTCTCCGCGATCATGTGCAGCAGCTGTTTGCTCAGGTCACTTTCCTTGCTCAGAAAATTCGAGAAATTCATACTGACCTGGAGAAAGATGGAGTAACATCCGTTCGAATATTTAACTAAATCGATAAAAAAATTACAACAAAACAACAACCACCACAACAACAAAACATCAGTGCAACAACGTTAAAATGTCAACATTTACACCAACAACAAGGGCAACAAAAACTTACTACTCCATATTTATCTTCATCCAGCATTAGATAGCTCGGAACGAACCGGCACAGAAAATCAATGTACGTAGACTCGAGTAAAGGACTGAAGAGGCTGACGCAAAAATTAGTGAATCCGTCGAGGCTGGCAGTCTGTAGGCCAGTAGTAGTGATGTGCACTTCGTAGATGTTCTTCGCCATCGTTGAGAATGATCCAATCCAGTTTAATAATCTGCGGTTTTGGGGTTTTGGTAAATTTTTATCATCTAACATTGCCATTTTGTTGTATATTGATTGATTGATTGAATGATTAATTGAATGATTGATTGAATGGTTGATTGATTTGTTACCTGTAGTAAACGTTCTCTCCACTGGAAGAGTCAACTTGATCAAGGGATAGAGAGTGCTGAATGATCTTCTCAGGTATCGGTGAATAGCACCCGGCATATTCCTCCTTGTCCATTAACAATTCCTCTGTTTACAAAAATTATTTATCTATCAATCTACCATCATCATCATCATCACCACCACCATCATCATCATCAAAACCTCCAATATCATCTTCATAGTCATCCTCATCATCATCATAGTCATCATCATCATCGTCGTCTCGTTATCTACATCGTTACCACCGAATCTAAAGTTAAAGAAAGGTGAAGATGAGAATCTTACTCAATATAAGCAGCATCCAGTGTATATCTTCTGAGTAGATGTTTAT